GCTGAACCGGCGCGCCGCGGAGACCGTCGCGGAGATCCGGGCCGCGGCGGCCGCGGCGCTCCGGCCCCAGGTCGAGTCCTGGGAGGACGCCTTCGCCAAGACCGTCGTCAGGCGCGACGGCGCCGTCGTCGGCGGCGACCCGCGCGCCGCCGAGGCCCGGGGCGCCGCGGCGAAGGTGTCCTTCGAGCGGCCGCTCCCGGACGCCGCCGACGCCGCGGAGCCGCCGCCGCCGCCGCCGCCGGACGACGGCTACGACCGCCACGCCGCGGCCTACGACGCGCTCCTCGAGCGCCTCAAGGAGCTCTCCGACGCCGCGGCGAAGAAGAAGGACGGCGCGGCGGACGCGGCGCAGCCGGCGGAGGCCGAGGCGCCGCCCCCGGCGAAGGGCGCCGGCTGGGGCGCCCCCGGCTTCGAACTGCAGCACGCGATGGACTACGCGTTCGCGGACGTCGCGCCGGACGCGGAGGCGCCGCCGCCGCCCCCGGCGACGGCGGACGTCGCGCCGCCGCCGCCGCCCGACGCGGCATAAGCGAGTTTTGTGTGTTTTGTGTGCCCGGCGCCGTTGCCCGGTCCCGAGCCGCGAACCTCGTCGAACCCCGCGCGCCGCTTAGGACCCCCTAGGGCGCCCTCGGTCCCCGCGCGGGCACGGACCGCGCGCCGGGCACGGACCGCGCGGCGTCTCGTCGCTTCCCAAACTCGGACGCGCGCAGGCTCGGCTTCAGGGCGCACTGGCTCCAGACGTTGACGAGGACGATGCCGAGGACGGTGATGACGAGCGCGGCGACGCGGATCCAGGACGGCTGCCGCCGCCGGCGGCGCTCGGCGTCGGAGAGCGTGCCGTAGCCCTCGAAGGACGCCACCTTCGCGTCCCGGATCTCGACGGCGACGGGGGCGCGGTCGTAGTCGGCCTCCTCCATGTTTGGCGGGGCAGCCCCCCTTTTTTCGAGACGGGCAGCCTAGACTGCCGGGGACCGCAGAGACCGCCGTGCTCTGTCGCGGCGCGGGTTTTCTCCTGGAGCGAACTCCCTTTGGGGCGACGTCCCAAGGTTGTCGCCGCGATCGACCGCAGCCGCACTGGCGCGCACTCCCACGTCCTGCTCGCGAGAAGAAAAGGACCGCTTGACGAAAAGGCAGCGTGGACCTCAAGAAGTACCTCAAGTTACCTCGGCGGGGCACCGCAGCACGGGCGCGTCGGCCTCGAGCATGGAGATGAAGGCGGAAACGTCCGAGTACCATGCCAACGCCGCGCCGAGGACGCAGACGTGCCAGAGCTGGTGCGAGGACCCGACGAGGTCGACCTTGCCCGGGAAGAGCGCCTCGGGCCACCGGCTCAGGTAGCACGCGAAGCCGAGGCCGTACAGCCCGAACATGAGGAGCAGCTTCGGGATGAAGAGGTCCAGCTGGGCCCGGGGCGTCGCCATCACAAAGTGGAGCGTCGGCGCGACGCCCGACGCGACGAGGCCCGCGAACGCGCGCGCGTGGTGCCGCTCCTTGACCGCCCCGAGGCCGAGCGCGAGGCCGAGCGCCAGGATCACGGCGCTCGCGCCGAGCCAGCAGAGCCGCGCGGCGTCGCCGGCGCAGCGCAGCCCCAGCCACGTGCCGGGCACGAAGGACGCGGCGATCATGACCGCGATGCCGCACTTGTCGAGCGCGAGCCACCGCCGCGCGGCCGCCTCCGACACCGGGTGGAACGTGTGGTACGCCGCGGACGCGAGGAGCATGAAGCACGCGCCCGCCGCGAAGACGACGACCGTGCACTCGTCGACGACCGTCGCCGCGCCGAAGGGGCGGCGCGCGCGCCACGCCGCGGCCGCGACGCGCGCCGCGCGGCGGCAGAACTCGCCGCAGAAGTACGCGCCGCCGACGAGGTGCGTCCACACGTTCATCGTCTCGTTGTGAGCCTCGAAGACGCTCCCGGCGCAGGCGCAGCCGTCGTAGCCCACGCGGTAGCCGCTTCGGATGTGCGGGCTCGGCGCGTACCACTCGGGAAGCTCGTCGCTCGTGCACACGGTCTTCCGCCAGCCCGTGGTGCCCCAGCCGGCGCCGGGCTGCTCGAGGTCGACGAGCTCCTTGGCTTTCTGGTGGCGCAGCGCGGCCATTGGCGGCGTGGGTTCAGCTGCCGCCGGAGCGTAAAGCAACAAACCAAGATGGCCTCGCTCCGCGCTTTGATCCTCTCGCAGGACAGCGACGACGAGGCGCGCTAGACGCTTTGACGCTCTCGCCCCAGGCCCATCGATGGGCTCGTCAATATTGGCCTCGGCTCACGTTGAAGGGAGGCCTCGAAGGTCGCGCGACGCGGAACTCTGTCCGACGGCGCGCGTCGGGCTGGAAGTCTTGCATAGGCCTCGCGTCTTCGTGATATTTCGGACAATCTGCTCGCGCGCGCGCGCGATTTTTTCAAGCTCCGCGCGTTGTGGCGCGACTATGGTATAGTGACGCGTCTCCTCGTGCCCTCTTAAACAGGCGGCGGGTCGTTTGCGAGTCCGAAGCCATAGGACAGCGGCGCACGCGCTGCCCGCCACACGGACGGCGATGGTGAGTGGGTTCAGTGCCAGATCTGAGTTGGTGGATTGAGGCTCGGCCTCGTCAGTCGCATCGGCGCCAGCGGCCTCGTCGGAAGCCGAGCTGGCCCGGATTTTCGTCGCAGAAAATTTTGGCAGCCATGGCCGTCCCCCGACCCCTGGTTCTCATCCTGGCGTGCCTCGTGCGGCACGGCGCCGCCATGAGCGCCCCGCCGTCGCGCGCCGTCAAAACGGGCGTGCGGCCGGGCGTGGCGCCCGCGCGCGCGCCCCAGCACCGGACGACGGCCCACCCGCCGCCCCCCACGGTCAACTCGCGCGTGCGGCACCTGGTGAAGCGGCGGCGCTGGGACGACGCGCTCGCGGAGGCGCGGCGGGGCCTCGACGGCGGCCAGCTCGGCTACCGGAGCGCGCGCGACGCGCTCTTCTGCGCCTGCCGCGCGCGGCAGCCCGCGGCCTGCGAGGCCTTTTTCCGGGACGTGGCCGCCGCCCGGCCGCCCGGCGGCGGCGGCGCCTGGGCCGCGACGGAGCACCTGCTGTCGTTCGCGCTCGACGCGCACGCGCGCGACGGCGCGACGGCGCGCGCGCGCGACCTCCTCGAGGACGCGCAGCGCGCGGGCATCGCGCCGACGGCGCTGAGCTACTGCATCCTCATCAAGGGCTTCGGGCGCGAGGGCGAGCGCGCGCGGGACCCGGCGGTCGTCGCGAGGTGCGTCGCGCGGATCCGCGACCTCGTGTCGCTCGTCGAGTACCGGCGCTGCTACGACCGCATCCTGCTCAACGCCGCCGTCGACGCTTTAGCGCGCTGCGGCGACGCCGCGCGGGCGACGCGGCTCCTGGGCCGCATGGAGCGCGACTTCGGCGTCGCGCCGGGCGCGCGGGCCTACAACGCGGCGCTCAAGGGCCTCTGCCACGAGGCGCCGCGCGAGTGCCTGACGCTGGCGCGCCGCATGCGGCGCGCCGGCGTCGCGGCGACGGCCGTGACGAACGCGACGCTCGCGCACGCGTTGGGCCACTACAAGCCGGAGACCGCCGCTCGCCTATTGCCCGCGCTCTTCCCGCATCCCGTCGCGTGCCCGTTCTTCCCCGCGGGCGACGCCGCGGCCGCCGTCGACGAGGGCGCCGTCGAGTACCGCCAGTCGGCCACCGTGGCCTACACGGCCGTGCTCGGCGAGTTCGCGAACCGCGGCGACCGCGTCGGCGCGGCCAAGGTGTTCCGGAGCATGCGCGACCGCCAGGTCCCGCGGTCCGCGGTGACCTACGCGGAGCTGCTCCGCGTCTCCGGCGACACGGAGGACGGCATAGCACGAATCTGGTCCTCCATGGAGTTCGACGGCGTCGCGCCGACGGCCGTGACCTACAACGTGGCCCTCGCCGCGCTCCTGGGCAAGCCCGCGGACGGCGGGCCGGGCGAGGCCCGGCTCCGCAAGGCGCTCGCGCTCGCGCGGGACATGCGCGGGTCCGTGGGCTGGACGCCGGCGACGCTGAACACGATCCTCGCCGCCTTATACGCGACGGCGGGCGACGAGACGGCCGCGACGTGGGACGCGCCGTCGGCCGACGGCCGCGACGGCTCGGCGCGCGCCGAGGCGCTCCTCGACGGCTGCGGCGTCGCGGGCACCTGGCTGCCCACACCCGACGCCGCGACGTGGACCATCGCCATGCGCGCGCGCGCGCGGCGCGGCGACCTCGACGGCGCGGCCGACGCGTGGCGGCGCCTCCGGCGGGACCCGGCGCTCGCCGTCGACGCGATCGCGGCGAACACCTACGTCGACGCGCTCGCGCGGGGCGGGCGGCTCGGCGACGCGCGGGACTTGCTGGAGGCCATGCGCCGGGGCGAGACGCCGGGCCTGCCGCGGCCCGACGCCGTGTCGTACGCGGTCGTGGCGCGCGCGCTGTCGGCCGCGCAGCACCCCGCGGCCGCGCGCGCGTGCCTCGACGTCTTCGACTGGGCCCTCGACGACGCGCTCATGGCGCCGGCCATCGCCAAGGCGACGATCCTCGCCTGCACGTCGCTCAACGACGCCGCGGCGTCGCCGTTCGACTTCGGCCTCCGCGCGCGGCCGGACGTCGCCGCGGCGAAGCGCGTCCTCGACGCCCTCGGCGGCCACCTGCCGCCGGCGTCCGTGACGAAGCTCCGGCTCTTCGCGCACCAGACGCTCACGCGCTTCGACACGGAGACGTGGAAGGGCACGGCCTACGACGACCGCCGCCTCCCGGCCGCGTTCCGGAAGCCGTCCGCGACGGACAAGATCTTCCGGACCAAGGGCTGGAACGAGGTCGAGTCGGGCTTTAAGCTCATCTAGGGGTGCCGGGCTTTAAGCTCATCTAGGGGTGCCTCGCGGTCCGCGGGCGTGCCCGAGGGCCAACTGCAGGCACTGCTTCGTCGGCTCTTGGAGGCGAGAAGCTCCACTAAATCGAGGCCTGGCGCCACAGCCTCGGAAAGCATGCTCCTGGGGCCGGCGGTCTACGTCGGCACGAGCCTCTACCTGCGCGGGTCGCGGCGCCTGGGCGGCGACGACGACGATGGCGGCGACGACGGCATGTCCTTCGAGATCGACTCGGGCAACAAGGGCTTCGACGCCTTCTTCCTCTGGTTCTTCATCGCCGTCCTCGTGTCCCTGTCGGCGCTCTTCAGCGGCCTCACGCTCGGGCTCCTGGGCCTCGACAAGAACGGCCTGGACATCGCGCGTCGCCCGGCGCCCGGCGCGCGCCGCGCGCGCGGCCCGCCGGCGCGCGAGCCCGCTTCCCCGCTCTTAGGTCAAGAACGGCGGGTCGGCGACGGACCGCGAGTACGCGAAGCTCATCTTCCCCGTGCGCCAGAACGGGAACCGGCTCCTGTGCACGCTGCTCCTGGGCAACGTCGCCGTGAACGCGCTGCTGTCGATCACGCTCGCGGCCGTCGCGAGCTCGATCGTCGGCTTCCTCATGTCGACGGCGCTCATCGTCGTCTTCGGGGAGATTCTGCCCCAGGCGCTCTGCAGCCGCCACGCGCTCTACATCGGCGCGTCGACGCTCCCCGTCGTCAAGCTCTTCATGGTGCTCATGAGCCCCATCGCGTTCCCGCTCGCGTGGGCGCTCGACGCGCTCCTGGGCGAGGACGTGGGCACGGTGCACACGAAGCGCGAGATGCTCCAGTACATGAAGGTCCACCTGCGCCAGGGCATCCTGGACGACGAGTCGGGCAACGTCATGCGCGGCGCGCTCGAGATGAAGGAGAAGTCGGTGCACGAGGTCATGACGCCGTTGGAGGACGTCTTCATGCTGCCCGAGTCGACGACGCTGAGCTTCAAAGTCGTGCGCGAGATCTTCGAGCAGGGCTTCTCGCGCGTGCCCGTGTTCCGGGGCGAGCGCCAGCACATCGTGGGCCTGCTCTTCGTCAAGGATCTGATCTTCGTCGACCCGGAGGACGAGACGCCGCTCGCGAGCCTCCTGTCCATCTTCAGCCGCGGGCTCCAGGTCGTCGACGAGACGAACACGTTGGACGACGTCCTGCGCATCTTCAAGCGGGGCCACGGCCACCTCGCGCTCGTGCGCCGCGGCGACGCGCCGCGGCGGACGCGGACGACGTCGGGCGGCGACGCGCCGGCGAAGGCGGACGCGGCGCGGCGCCCGTCCTACGGCACGCCGACGGGCCGGGACGGCGACGACGGCGCGTCGACGCCGGACCGGCTGTTGCCGAAGAGCGGCGGCGGGCCCGACGCGGCCGAGGCCCACGGCGGCGAAGGAACGCCGGACAGCTCGCGGTCGGCGACGCCGACGCCGCGGTCGGGCGGCTTCATCGACTCGCTGAACAAGATGGTGCGCCGGCCGTCCATGCCCGGGGGCTACTTTGGGGCGGAGAAGGTCGAGTGCGGCGACTTCGACGGCGGCGTCGAGCTCGCGGACTCGCCGCCCGACGCCGCGCCGCCCGCGGGCGACCCGGAGCAGTTCGTGGGCATCGTCACGCTCGAGGACATCGTCGAGGAGATCATCGGGGACGAGATCATCGACGAGACGGACGTCTTCGTCGACGTCGACAACCACATCAAGGTCGCGGGCCGCGGCGACTTCGACTTCACGAAGCTCCGGCGCCTCGACGCGGAGTTCGTCGACGAGCGGCTGAGCCTCGAGGAGGTGCAGGCCGTGACGGCCCACTTCATGACGAACGTGCGCCAGCTGAACTCGCCCGCGAACGAGGACGACGGGAGCCGCCTGCTGAACCACGACGAGATGTCCGCGCTCGTGCGCCGGAGCCGCGTCGTCGAGCTCCGGCGCCGCACGAAGAACGCGCACGCGGACGTCATCAAGGACGAGGACAAGATCTACGTGCGGGGCGAGGCCGCGGCCTTCGCGACGCTCGTGCTCAACGGCAAGCTCTCCGTGCTCGCGGGCAAGGACGGCTTCCGCGCCGAGGCGGGGCCGTGGTCCGTGCTCGGGGCCGACGCGCTCACGGCGGCCGAGGGCTCGTTCGTGCCCGACTTCAGCGCCCACGTCGCCACGGAGTCCGTGCGCTGCATCTACGTGCACCGCGCGGAGTACGCGCGCGCCGTCGCGGGGCCGCGCCGCGGCTCGAGGGGCCAGCGCCGCGACCTCGGGACGTCCGACGGCGAGGTCCAGTACAGCGACGACGGCGGCCGGCTGCGGCCCCGGGGCTCCCAGGGCCGCGCGGGCGCCGCCGCGCGGCGCTCGGAGATGGCCGAGCGGCGCCGGCGCCTCGCGTCGATGGCCGGCGCGGACCGGCGCCGCTTCAAGAAGGAGACGATCGGCAAGTTCCACTCCGCGGCGGCGCACAGCGACACGGAGCTGAAGAACGACGGCGACGCGACGGAGCCCGACGAGCCCCTGCTCCGCTTCGGCGGCGGCGCGACCACGCCGCCGCGGAGCCCGTCGCCGCCGTCGGTCCCCGGGTCCGCGCCCGGCGCGCTCTCGCGCGGCGCGGACTCGTCCAACTCCCTCGACGAGCTCCGGCGCGGCGCCGACCTCAGCGACGCGGACTGCTACGCCGCCGGGCCCAGCGGCAACGAGCGGGCGAAGCACCTGAGCGTCGACACGGCGACGGCCCAGCCCCGGCTCCGCGCGAACTCGGACATGTTCGAGTCCGAGCCCGACAGCGCGCACGGCGCCGACGGCCCGCGCCACCACCCCGGCGACGGCGCGTCCGCCGGCGCCATGGCCGGCCGCAACATCATGCCCCTCGCCACCGTCGCGCCCGGCGCGCGGTCGAGCGACACGCCGCCGGGCAGCCCGGGCAGCTTCGACGAGGAGGAGGACGACGACGACGACCGCGCCTAGGGTTCCCGTTGTCTTTTCTAGTGCTCGTGCTTATAGAGGAAGCGCATGCAGAAGAAGGACGTCACGGAGAAGAAGAGCCAGGTGACGAGCATGATGGAGATGTCCGTGCCGACGTTGCCCTGGTGGTAGTTGTGCCAGCCCGGGTCCTTCGTGCGGTCCTGGATGGCCGACGAGCCGAACTGGATGCGCACGAAGGCGTCGAAGGGCGGCTTCAGCGTCGAGTAGTGGCGCACCCACTTGTAGTACTGGTTCATGGACTCGACGGCGACGGGGTAGCCGGAAGACACGAAGCCTAGAATGAAGATGCCCGTGGCGACGATGTAGGCGTGGTCCGCCGACGGCGTGATGGCCACGGAGAAGATCAGGATCTGCGTGTAGAGCAGCGCGACGCCGCAGAGCAGCGCCGTCGTCAGCGGCACGTCGCGGAGCCCCGCCAAGGTCGCGTACGCGAACGCGCACGGCGCGGCCGTGATCGCCGACGAGCCCATCTCGACGATCGTGTTCGTCAGGTAGTAGGCCGCGACGCTGTACAAACCCTCGTCGGACTCGTGGACGAAGTGCGCGTGGTCGTACGCGACGGACCGGAGCGGCACGAACATCGACAGCGCCGCCGCGCAAATATAGAAGAACAGGATGCCCTGGTTGTTGTGCATGGTCCGGTGCGCCGTCGTCAGGTTCATCTCGCCGTAGTCCACGTCCCGCGTCGGCCCGAGGGCCCAGGCCGCGCCCAGGCTCACCGCGAGCATCAGCGCGAAGCGCAGCAGCTGGCCCGTCGGGTCGCGGCGCCGGAGCTTGAACGCGCGGACGAAGAGCTCGCGGATCTCCGTGGAGAAGGACGCGGCGTCGAAGATGATGAGCTGGAGCGTCTCCTCGTCCTTGGCGGCCATGTTGCAGCGCATGAGCACGTCGTCGTAGAACTCGAGCTTGGTTTTGGTGAACTGCCACGACGCGGCCGCGACGTCCGTGATGTCGCGCATCGTGTTCTCGCCGTAGAGGTGCGCGGGCTTGAAGAAGTCGATGGACATGAGGTCGATGCACACCTCCGACGGCGACGCCGAGCCGAGCTGCTGCTCCCCGAAATACCCCAAACCGCCGAACCACGGCACGGCGTCGGCCGCCGGGCCGTCGTACATGACGTAGCCCGCGGAGAGGAAGTAGACCCGGTCGAACATCTTCCAGATGGTCTGGTGGGGCTGGTGGATCGTGCAGAGCACGCCGATGTTCGCCGTCCGCGCGAGGTCGCCCAGGAGCTTCATGACGCTCAGCGTCGCGCCCGCGTCCAGACCCCGCGTCGGCTCGTCGGCGAAGACGACGGACGGCCGCGAGATGACGCCGCGCGCGATGGCCAGGCGGCGCTTCTGCCCGTCGCTCAGGCCCTTGACGACCTGGCCGCTCGCGAGCGTGCCGCCGACGTACTCCGAAGCCTTGGACGCGAGGCCGAACTCGTCGAGGAGATCCGTCGAGTTCTCCGCGACCTCGGCGTCGGACACGGACCGCGGGCACCGGAGCCGCGCGACGAAGGTGAGCGTCTCGAGCACCGTGAGGAGCGCGGGGAAGGCCTGGATCGTCGGGATGTAGGCGCTGCTGTGGCGCACGCGCGACTGCGTGAACGGCAGGCCATCGAGCCGGAGGACGCCCGTGAAGTAGCCCGTCGTCTTCCGCGACGAGAGGAGGTCGATGAGCGACGTCTTGCCCGAGCCGCTCGGGCCCAGGACCGCCACGAAGTTGCCCCGGTCCACGGCGCCGCTGCAGTTGACGATGACGGGCGCGGACGGGCCGTAGCTCAGGTTCAGCCGGTGCCAGACGAGCAAGGGGGGCGCGTTCTCCTTGTGCTCCACGGGCGCCGTGCGCAGGAGCTTGCTCGACTTCGTCGTGAGGCCCGCGAAGGACGCGCGCTTCTGCCGCTCGTAGCCGTGCTTCTTCTTCATGGCCCGCACGGACGCGGCGGGCGACGTCGGGTCCGTCAGGCCCTGGGGGCTCTCGGGGGCCGCCCCGGGCGGGGTCGGCTCCGCCGCAGCCGCGGAGAACGTCCCATACTCCGGGTCGGGCAGCGCCTCCGCCGCCGTCGGCGTCGATTCCACGGCGGACATCGCTCTACGAGGCGGTGGTCCGCGGCCCAAATGTTAGCATGCCCAAGACAGCTCGACGGGGCAGCTCCTTCCTACTTGCAGCAGATACGCAGCTCTTCTGTCGCGGCCGTTGGGGGTACGCGCGGGCGGCGGGCGGGGTCGGGGCGGCGTCCGAAAGGGTCCGTGCGGGGCCGTCGGGCTGGTGGTACAGGTGTCGTGGTTTCGAGGAAACCATGGGTTGAGCAGAATGTTGCCCCCTCTGCGGTTTCGCCCTAATCCTAACCCTCATCAACTTTGTGTTCAACACGCGCGTCACTCTCCGCCCGACTCATCGATCGTCGCGCGCGCTCCAGCCGCAGCGTCGCTCGCCACGCCCCCGCCAGTCCCGGGACCACCCACCCGGCTGGTAGCGCCCGGCTGGTAGCCCGTCGGGACGATCGGGAACTATTTCAGCGCGCCGGAGATGCCCCGGCGGGCCGCGTCGGCGCAGCCGCTGCCCTACGGGTTCACGGAGGTGCCCAACTGCGAGCGGAGCCCGCCCCTGGGCGCGTCCCTCGTGGAGGCCCCGGCGTCCCGGGCGCGCTGGCTCGCCATCGCGCCGGAGATGAAGGGCCTCTGCGACGAGGCCGTGAAGCGGCGCGCGCTCAAGCTGCTCGCGCGCGGCGCGCGCGCGCGGTCGGCCGCCGCGTCCGCGGGCGCGCCGCTCTACGAGGCCTACATCGCGGACCGCCTCGACCTCGACGACCCGCTCAAGGGCCTCGTCGTGCGCCAGCGCGACAAGGGCTGGCTCCAGGGGTTCATCACGCACACGACGTTCACGACGTGGACGCCGCACTTCGCGTGGGATTCGCAGCACCACGCGTCGGGCCTCAAGGGCCTCGTGGGCACGGGCCGCAAGCTCGACCACGGCGTCGGGCGGCCCCAGCGGACGCCCCTGCCGAGCCCGCGGCCCCAGAGCACGCAGCACCCGCGGAGCTGCAAGGACCGGCCGTCGCTCGCCGCGCCGCCGTCGGCGGGCGCGGAGCCGCGGTCCCCGGAGCCGGCGGCGCCCCTCGAGCCCCTCGCCGAGGGCCTCGAGCGCTGCGCGCGGTCCGGCGACTGGCGGTCCACGGGCATCGTCTGGCCGCGCGTCGCCGAGATCTCGCTCCTCGCGGCGCTCGGCTGCGGCGACTGGCTCGTGTCCGTCGTCCTCGAGGAGCTCGCGCGCGACGACGCCTACGACTTCTGCGTCGTCTGCGCGACGCCCGGCGCCGCGACCTTCTACGAGCGCCACGGCTTCCTCCGCGTCGGGGCCATCGCGCGCTACATCGACAACGACGGCGCGGCGGCGGCGCCGGCGACGGATTCCGGCGACGACGCCAGGGAGGCGCCGGCCGTCAAGCCCTGGCAGGCCTACCGCCACTGGGCCTGGGGCGACGAGCACCGCGACTCGCTGCGGACGAACCACGGCGAGCCGAGCTACATGATGGCGCGCCGCGTCGACCGCCGCTCCGGCGCCGCGGAGAAGCGCGGCGACGCGCTCCTCCGCCAGCGCGACCAGCGCCTCTCCATCAAGTGCCCGCGCCTCGCGCCGGGGTCCAAGGTGCCGCCGACGGCGTCGCCGCCGCCGCCGTCGCGCTCACGTCGCCGCCGACGAAGAAGCCCGCCGCGCGCAAGCCGGCGGCCGCGCCGGGCGCCGCCAAGAAGCCCAAGAGCCACAAAAAAAAGGAGGCGCCGCCGCCGCCGCCCAAGCAGTACAAGCCCGCGAGCCGGAAGCGCAAGCTCGAGCCCGCGGCGCCGCCGCCGAAGCGCGCGCCGCGACGAGCCGCCGCCGTCGCGGCGAAGGAAGCCCTCAAGGTCAGCGCGGCGCCCTGAGCCGCCTTCGCGCGCCTAACCACCTCCGTTCGTGCGCCGGTGGTTGAACCTGGTTGAAGCTCTCATTGAACGGAGAGGGACGATGGCATCGTCGATGCTCTGCGCATTGCTGCTCGGCTGCGCAACCGCGTGGGCGCCGGCGGCGGCGCGCTGCAAGAGCCTGAGCAAACGCACCGTCGCGCCGTCGACGGCGGACTACGTCGCGGACCAGCTGGGCCGCGACAACTATGCGAACTTGGCGATGCAACTGGGCATGCTCGAGGACGAGGCGCGCATGGACGCGTATCGTGTTGCCATCGCCAGCGAGCCTAAAATCAAGGGCGGCGTCGTCCTGGACGTGGGCGCGGGCTCCGGCGTGCTGAGCGTGCTGTGCGCGAAGGCGGGCGCGACGCGCGTCGTCGCCGTCGAGCGGTCCGGCATGGCGGCGAAGGCGCGCGACGTCGCGGCCGCGAACGGCGTCGGCGACGTCGTGGAGGTCGTGGAGGACGACGTGAAGAATTTGGACGGTTCCTTCGACGTCATCATCTCCGAGTGGATGGGCTCGTTCCTGCTCGGCGAGTCGATGCTGCCGTCGGTGCTCGGCGCGCGCGACCGGCTGCTGAAGCCCGGCGGGCGCATGATGCCCTGCCGTGCGACCATGCGCTTCGCGCCCGCGCGCCTCGACCTCGCGCGGGATCGGCGATTGCGCCGCCACCTCGAGCGGCTGGCGGACTGGCGCGCGATGGAGCGCGAGTCCACGGACGTCGACTTCTCGTGCCTGCGCGACGCCTTCGCCGCGGAGACGCTGACCCGCGGCTGGCGCGCGCCGGACCTGGTCCACGCGGACGCGCGCCACCTCCTCGGTGAGTCCCAGGACGTCTTCACGATCGACCTGGAGAACGACGCGGCGGCGGCCGCGGAGGGTTTCGGCGACGCGTCCTTCGCCTTCGAGGGCGTGAACCCGGCGACGATCTCCGCCTTCCTGGGCTACTTCGACGTCGACTTCGCCTGCGGCGCGCGCCTGTCGACGGCGCCGGGCGCGCCGGACACGCACTGGGGGCAGACGGCGTTCTACTGCGCGGACCTGGCGCCGTCGTCGTCGACGGCCGGGCGCCTCTCCTTCGCGCAGAAACCCGGCGAGTACTTTCTCGCGTCCGTGGAATTGGACGAGGCCGACGGGGTCGACGTCGACGTCGAGGAACTCGAGGTGGAGCTCGACGACGACGACGACGACGACGACGAGGACGCGCTGGACTACGACGACGACGACTTCGACGAGGACGATGATCTCGACGACGACCTCGACGACGCGGACCTCGTCGGCCTCGACGAGCTGCGATGGTACTTGTCTAACTACGATTAGCGGCTTTTTGAAAGCCAGCCTCTTTGGAGGATTTCTCGCGTTTTACGGGGCGGGGCGCTTCCCCCGTCAACTTGGCCCGTTTAAAATTTGCTGTAATCGGTGCCAATATCGCAAGGTGCTCCGCAGAGAGCGCTGTGGAAAGGGGGCCCTTTGCGGTCTTCAAAGCCTCCACAGCTTTCATGATGCCGGGCCTAAGTAGCTCGGCAATCGCGTCGTGGCCCTCGCTTATGGCGACTTCCAGCGGCAGCACGCCGTTATGGAGTTTGTCCGTAATGGCTCCTTTGTGCATCAGTAGTTCGACGATATCGTAGAGACCTGTTTGACAAGCCACGAAAAAGGGAGTCCGTCCATCGGGTGCAGCGAGGTTGATGTCTGCGCCGCCGCGATCGATCAGCAGCCGAACAACGTCGGTGTGACCGCAGTGGCAAGCCATGAGCAGTGCGGTGATACCATCTCGGCTCCAATTCACGTCAGCGCCGCGGTCAATAAGTAGTTTGACCGTGGACAAGTGACCTCTAATGCTTGCGATCAACAGCGGCGTCAACCCTGTGGCGGTCACGCTGTTGATGTTCGCTCGGCCCACGAAGATCAGGAGGCATACCACGCCATAATGTCCTGCATCACATGCGGCAAGGAGAGGCGTCTGTTGGTGCTGTCCGCCCAGTTCTACGTCGGCGCCTCGGTCAAGGAGAAGCCGAGCGGCCTCGACCTGGCCATTCTTGCAAGCGACAAACAACGGCGTCATAAAACGCTGCGAGTCCAGCTCATTGATGTCACACCCGCCGTCGAGTATTCGCCGGATCTCATTCAAGTTTCCCAAAGAGCACGCTGTTCGCAAACCATGAGTAAGCGGATCGTGCTCCGCCATGTAGTCCATGAACGTCGCTTTCACGGTCGGCAGAATTTTCGCCTCCGCCTGCGCCGCGTCCGTAACGCTGAGGTGGCCCGCGACGGTCGTCTCGAGCACGCGCACGGTGAGCGTTCCCGCGTCGTAGGCCGCGACGATCTCGGCGTCGCTCGTGAGCACCTCCACCGTCGTCTTCGCGATGGTCGCCTCGTCGGGGACGACGGTGGATTTGGGCGCCGCCTCGGTCTCCATGGGCGCGGCCTCGGCGACCTCGCGGCTTGTGTGAAGGTGTCGCGCGGCTCGCGGGGCTTTTCGCGCAGATCGGCGCGTGGCTCGCGCCGGGTTGTCGCGGTGTCGGCGCGCGTACGGCGCCGGGGGGTCAGCCAGACCAAGCACGCGCAAAACCTCCACGGGGCGCGAGCGTCTGCGGAGGCGCCTCGACGCGCCGACGGCGACGCACGCTACTTGGGCGCGACGCTCTAAGTGCGGCCGATGAAGCGACCGCTCGAACGAACGCCCTGGGAGAAGTGCGTCGCCTGGGTCGAAGCCTGCGGCGGTGAAGTGAGCGGGGTCGCCGTTTCCAGCGACGGCGTGCGAGGCGTCGTCGTGAACGCCGAGGAAGGCCTCGCGAAGGATCAGGTCGTCTTGAAGATCCCGCTCGCCTGCTGCGTCCTCCACGAGGACGTGGAGCGGCACGCGGTCGGCCGCGCGGCGCGCGAAATCGCCGACCATCTCGCGGCGCGCGAAACGGGCGGGCAACTCTCGGCGTCCGTCGACGACGTCGCGCTCGCGTTCTTCCTCGCGGCCGACGCCTCCGACGAATCGTCGCCGCGCGCGCCGTACTACGCGACGCTCCCGAACGCGGACGACCTCCCGGACGTCCCGCGGACCTGGTCCGACGCCGAGCTCGACGCGCTCCTCGGGGGGTCGCCGCTCCGGAAGCGTATCGACAAGGGCGCGCTCCGCCGCGACTACGACGCGGTCGCGCGGTGCGACGTCGACCGGGCCTGGCCCACGTTTGACGCCTACGCCTGGGCGGCGACGATCGTCGCGACGCGGAGCTTCTCGCTCGCCGAGGGCGTCGACGCGCTCGCGCCGCTCGCGGACATGCTGAACCACAGCCGCGACCGCGAGACGCGCTACGGCGTCGACGGCGACTGCGCGGTGTGGACGGCGACGCGATCCCTCGCGGCGGGCGCCGAGGTCCACGACACCTACGGCGCCAAGGGCAACGCGCAGCTGCTGAGCCAGTTCGGCTTCGCGATGGTCGCCAACTTCGAGCCCGACGGGTCGTCGAACGACCTTAGGCCGCTGGCGCTGCCGGCCGCGCGCGACGGCCGCGCGGCCAAGCCCGTGGACCTGCGCATCGGCGCCAAGGCCGACGTGCTGCGGCCCTTCGCGGCGTGCCTCGACGCCATGCGCGCCGCGTCCTCCGCGGCGCCGCCGCCGGACGACGACGAATTCAGCGAGGGCGACGACGACTTCCTCGACAAGGAGGACGACGACGGCGACGACGACTTCCCCGACGACGACGACGACGACGACGACGACGAAGAGGAGGAGCGGGCGCTCTGGGCGCGGCGCCTGCCCCTCGAGGTCGACGCGCTCTCGTCGCTCGCCGCGCTCGTCGCCGCGGAGCTCCGGGGCTACGCCCTGGGCGACCCCGTCGCGGCGCTGCGCGGCGCGCCGCCGCCGCCGCCGCCGGGCGCCGACGCCGCGCGGTGGCCCGCGCGGGCCGCGGCGTCCGCGGCGCTCGTCCTCAACGAGACCGCGACGCTGCGCCTCTACGAGCGCGTCGCCGCGCGCTGCCTCGACGTGCTCCGGGCGCCCGCGGAGCACGCGGCCGCCGTCGTCGCGAAGCTGCGCGCGGACGCGGCCGCGGCCGCGACCGCGGTGCCCGGCGACGCCGTCGCCGCGGTCGAGCGCGCGTCGAGCCACGCGAGCGCCGCGCCCGCGGCCCTGGGCTACCTCCAGCTGATCGCGTGCCCCGCCGTCGGGCGGGACCAGTAAAGTCATTGATCCGCTTCTCCCGCTGGTCGGCGCGCGCTCAGCGTCGGGCTTAACGTCGGGCGCACGCGTGGCGCCGTTTTCGAGGTGACGACGTTCTTGACCTGGTTCTTGATCGCCGGAGCAATGATGGCCCGACCTGGGCTGCCCTCTTTGATAACGCTCGGGCTGCTCCTCGTCGCGCGCTGCTGCTCGGCGTCGCCGTCGCTCCACGAGGAGGAGCTCCTGCGCGACGGCGTGACCGTGCTCCGCCAGGTTGTCGACCGCGCGCTCCTCGCGGACATCGCGGACGCATCGAACGCCCTCATCGACAGCGACGCGACGCAGCACCTGCAAAGGGACGCCTTTACCGGCAGCTTGATCCCCGTGACCAAGTCGTCGGCGTTCCTGCCGCTGATCACGCACGCGCCGACGCTCGACGCGCTCGCCGCCGCCGGCCTCGGCGACGCGCGCTGGCTCAGCGGCTACGTCATCTCGAAGCCGCCGTCGTCGCCGAGCCTCGGCTGGCACCAGGACGCCTGGTACTGGGACGAGGCGAACGCCTACGGCGAGGCGCCGGTCCAGCTCTTCGCCATGTTCTACCCCAGCGTCCTGCATCTGACGATTTTCGAGAGATTTTGACTGGGAAAACGATGAAAAATCGTTACCGACGCATGTGGTAGGTTCTACCTCACGAACACGAGCCGCGCCAACGGGTGCCTCCGCGCGATCCCCGGCAGCCACCGCCGGCCGCACGCGCTCCACGGCCTCCTCGACGCGGCCCACTCCGAGGACGTGCGCGGCGCCGAGGACTGGGCCGCGCAGCCCGCGCACCAGACCTGGGAGGGCGAGGTCGACGTGGCGGTCGACGTCGGCGACGTCGTCGTCGGCGACGCGCGCGTGCTCCACGCGGCCCACGCGAACAACTCCACGGAGCGGCGCACGGTGATCACCATGTGGTTCATGCCCCGCTTCTCCGACTACTCGCGCGAGTTCCGGGCGCGGACCGAGGGCCTCCACGTGCACCTCGCGAAGGACCTCTACGCGGACTGGCCGGCGGCCGCCGTCGCCGAAGCGGCGCCCTATTTGCCGATCAGCCGGCCCGTCGGCGAGGTTGCGGTCGTCTCCGACGGCGACGAGTACGACCACAACCTGGACGCCATGGTCCGCGCGCCGGGCTGGACGGGCACGGACGCGGCGTCGGCGCGCGCGTACCGGAGCTGGCGGCGCGCCGCGGCCCCGCGCGGCTGGCTCCGGCGCGCGCGCGACGGCCTCGCGCGGCGCGCGCGCGGCGCCCTCGCGCGCGTGTTGCCCCGGCGTGAGTGATACTATCGCAACGCCGCGAGGTCCGCGCGGAGCCCCCGGAGCTCCTTGAGCGCGGCGACGACGATGCCCTCGAGCTTCTCCGCGCGCGCCTCGAGGGCGTCGATTTGTGCGTCGTCGCGCGCCGCGTCGACGCGCCCATCCCTCCGCGCCGAGTCGGGCGGCGGCGGCTCCGTCGGCGGCGGCGGCTCCGACGCCTCCGGCGACACGTCGCGGCCGGCCCTGGCCGGTGGCTTCCGCGGGGGCGACCGCTGCGCGGGCCGCGTCGGCTCGACCCGGGGCTCCGGCGGACTCGCGACGCCCGTGCGCGACGACGGCCGCCGCTTCGCCGGGTTCGCGGCCGTGCACGACCGGTTGTGGATCGCGAGGCGGTCCGGCGCGAACGTCCGCCCGCAGAACTCGCACTCGGCCATGTTCGCTTCCAGGGCCTCGTAGGCCGCGTCGTTGTAGGCCCGGTCGCTGGCGCCGGCGCCGAGCAGCTGCGGCGCCGCGGGCGCGGGCTTGCGCTCGTGCGGCGGCAACTGGGCCTGGGCCGCCTCATATTTCTTCAGGCACTGCGGGATGTGGATGTCGATGGAATTCTTGCCGAACTGGCGGCCGCAGATGTGGCACATGCGCGTCGACGGGGCCGGCATGGTCGCTTGCTGTGCGTGGGCAGCCCCACAGACGCAATTCCGGGCGCAGTCAGCCGCCGGGGCTCTTGGACGTCAACCGTGGGCAAAGACACTCGTTGGGTTGCGGGTGGGCAGCCTCACAGACGCAATTCCGGGCGCAGCCAGACGCCGGCCCGCAAATCTCGAGCAGCAATTACACTCGTTGGCGAATGCATTTGAAACCTCCACCAGACCTCGCCGATCGAGCCACGACTGCTCATTGGCGCCAGCCTCGTTGTCAAGTCCTCTTGCTGCTCCGCGAACGCGACGGTGTTCGCGGGCCAGGAAGCGATCTCATGTCTGCACACGTGATCTCGAAGATCGGCGGCGACAGCCTCGATGTGATCAAGATCCGTCGCGCGCTGCTCAGCGTGAGCGACAAGACGGGCCTCGTGGAGCTCGGCCTCAAGCTCCAGAGCCACGGCGTCGAGCTCCTGTCTACGGGCGGCACGGCGGCGGCGCTCCGGGGCGCGGGCATCCCCGTCACGGACGTGGCGGACTACACGGGTTTCCCCGAGATGCTCGGCGGCCGCGTGAAGACGCTGCACCCCAAGGTCCACGGCGGCATCATGTACGTCCGCGGCAACGCGGAGCACGAGGCGAGCATCGCCGAGGCGGGCATCAAGGGCATCGACCTCGTCGTGCTCAACTTGTACGCCTTCGAGGCCACGGTCGCCAAGGGCTCGGACTTCGCGACCTGCGTCGAGAACGTCGACATCGGCGGGCCGTCGATGTTGCGGTCGTCGGCGAAGAACCACGCCTACGTCGCCATCGCGACGTCGCCGGACCAGTACGGCGCGTTGACCGAGGCCATGGACGCCTCGGGCGGCGCGACGCCGTATGTGCTGCGCAAGCGCTTCGCCGCCGCGGCCTTCGGTCACTCGGCCGCGTACGACGGCATGATCGCGTCGTGGTTCGCGGGGCAGGTTTCGGACGAGGCGGACGGCCCCGCGCCCGTCGCGACGCGGGGCTACTCCCTGGCGCGGCCGCTCAAGTACGGCTGCAACCCGCACCAGAAGCCCGCGGCGCTCTACAAGCCCCTGGGCGGCTCGCTGCCCTTCACGGTGCGGTCGGGCGCGCCGGGCTACATCAACATGCTCGACGCGTTCAACGCGTACCAGCTCGTGCGCGAGTGCCGCGAGGCCCTGGACCTGCCGGCGGCGGCGTCCTTCAAGCACGTGTCGCCCGCGGGCGCGGGCCTCGGCGTGCCGCTCACGGCCGTGGAGCGCCGCGCGTACGAGGTCGACGCGGCGGCCGAGCTCACGCCGCTGGCCACGGCCTACGTGCGCGCGCGCCAGGCGGACCCGCTCTGCAGCTTCGGCGACTTCGTGGCGCTGAGCGACGTCGTCGACGTCAAGACGGCGGAGGTGCTCAAGAAGGAGGTGTCCGACGGCGTCATCGCGCCGGGCTTCGACGACGACGCGCTGGCCATCCTCAGCGCCAAGAAGGGCGGCAAGTTCGTCTGCGTCGAGGTCGACCCGGCCTACGTCGCGCCGGCCATGGAGTACCGCGAGGTCTACGGCGTCGGCTTCTCGCAGAAGCGCAACGACCGCGCCGTGACGCTCGCGGACGTCGCGACGGACTCCGTCTCCGGCGGCGCCATGCCCGCGGACGCCCAGCGCGACCTCGTGCTCGCCTCCATCGCCTGCAAGTACACGCAGTCCAACTCCATCGTCTTCGCCAAGGGCGGCGGCGTCGTCGGCGTCGGCGCGGGCCAGCAGTCGCGCGTCGACTGCGTGAAACTCGCGGCGAAGAAGGTCACGACCTGGTACCTGCGCCAGTCCGACGCGCTCCTGGACCTGCCGCTGGCGCCGGGCCTCAAGCGCCAGCAGCGCGTCAACGCGCGCGTCAAGTACATCGAGGGCGGCCTCGACGGCCAGTCGCCGCAGGAGAAGGGCGCGTTCGACGCGCTCTTCGCGTCCGGCGCCGCGCCGCCGGAGCTCACGCCCGCGCAGAAGGCGGCGATCCTGAAGACCCTCGACGGCGTCTCCCTCTCCTCCGACGCCTTCTTCCCCTTCCCGGACAACATCGACGTCGCGGCCAAGTTCGGCGTCAAGTACATCGCCCAGGCCGGCGGCTCCGTCCAGGACGCCCAGGTCATCGACGCCGCCAAGGGCTACGGCATGATGATGGCCATGACGGGCCTCCGCCTCTTCCACCACTGATGCGGGGAAGGGCAACCTAAGGATCGTGAAGTGGTTGTTGCCGAGGTCGAAGCGCCCGGAGACGATGAGCCGCGGGTCGGCCTATTCAAGCGTGTTTTCCACCCCGGCGCTGACGGCGCGAGTTCTGGAATACTTGGAGCTCCGTCGGTCACTGAAATCTAGCGCTGTCTGTCACGCCTTCTACGACGCAGTTCCGCTCATCTCGTGCGCGCGGATCACGAAGCGTCCTGCGCAACCCTCACCTCTTCGTGCGGCGGCTCAAGGGCCTCCAGCGCCTTGATGTGCAGTGCCGAGGCGACGACTGCGCTAGATTCTTGGCGATCGCATGCAGCAGCGTGCGAATGTGGCGAGATGTGCAAATTACCCCGACCGAAAGTGACCTCGTCACCGATCAGCTCGTCGGAAGTCTGCGGTCCCTCGCGCGGGCAGTCCAGGCCGGATTGTTACCAGAGCTCGAGGACTTCTACTTCGACGGGATCTATCAGAAGATGACGGAATCCCCGGAGCCGGCGAGGCAGAAGGTCCAAAACGCCGCGCTTCGCGTCCTCTCGGCGCTGCCGATCAACGCGGCGGTTCGGATTGGTCTTGAGTGGGGCCTTCCTGTTGACAGTATCCGTCCGTTCGTCGATGCTACCTTTGATCCCAACCTCCAGTCCGAGTATATGGACCCCGTCGCCGTCTCCTTCGCTTTTCGTGACGATGTCCCGTGTCGGCCATTCGTGCGCGAACTCGTGCAGCAAGGCATGAGGCTGAACGTGTTGAGCCCTCTGAGGACATACTCAGCTCTCGGAATCTGCATGCGACAGCGCAATTTTGGCATGGCGCGGGCTTACCTGGAACTCGGGGCCGATCCGAACTTCGGGCATCCGAGCCCCCTCGAACTTTTGTGCAAAAACAATGACTTCCATACCGGAGCTGATGCAAAGATGCTGGAACTACTCCTCAAAGCTGGCGCGGACCCTTTCGCGTCGTTCAACGGCAAGACGGCGATGGATTCTTTGACATCGTCGCTAGGCGATATCGACGCCCAGCTTTACAATCGATACCTGGAGAGATTCGACGAGGCCATGGGAGGCGATCTTCTTGAAGAAGCTGAGTTGGAAACCTACGAGAATGACAAGCCGAATGCCGCCAAAGCCGCGCTCCTCGAGATGCAGGCCCTCCTCGTCCGCGCCATGCACGACCGCTACCAGCGGCTCCGCAAGACGAAGGCGGGATCTAAGAAGTAGTAGCGGGGCACCACCACCGGCTCCGGGGCGCGTCGGACCAGCCCGGCGTCGCCCGGGGCGTCGCGCAGTCGGCGACCTGGAGCTTCTTCCGCGTCGCGTTGCGGAGCCGGCTCTTGTGCTCCGCGGCGGCGAGGGTCGCCTGGAGCGGGCCGTGGACCGCCGGGTCGTAGAGCGCGGGCGTGTCCTTGCTCCAGGCCGTGTCGAGGCTCGCGTAGGGCGCGAGCGTTTGGCGCCGGAAGACGAGGAGCGCGTAGGCGAGGCGGTCCAGGTTCGACGTGAACTTGCCGACGAAGGCGTCGCAGTCGCTCAGCACGGTCACGTCGACGAGGACGGCGGCGAACTCCTCCGCCGCGTCGACGACGCCCGCGGCCATGAGGTCCTCGATGCGCGCGTCCGCCTTGTCGCCGTCCTGCCTTCCCCCGCGCGCCGCGGCCGGCGTCGCGACGACGGGCGCCGACGCGGGCCAGCCGCAGGCCGGCAGCGCGGCCCGGAGCTCCGCGAGGGCCGCGTCGCTGTCCGTGGCGACGACGAGCGTGCCGAAGCCGTAGCGCGCGCCGAGGCCGCAGGCCTCGCGCGCGTAGGCCGCGCCGTCGCTGCACGTGCGGCCCATGTAGGCGCCCTCGCGGCAGGAGTCGCCGCGGCGCACGTGGGCGCCGATCCAGGGCCGCGGCGCGCCGCCGAGGCCCGCCGCGGCGCGCGCGGCCGCGACGGCGCGCGCGAGCGCGGGCCGGGGCCGGAGCAGCCCCGCGAAGAGCGCCGCGCTGCTCCAGAACTCGTGCGCCGCGGCCCAGGCCCGCCAGGCGTCGACGGCGGCCCGCGCGCCCCGCGCCGCGCGGCCGAGCTCGCTCGGCGGCTTGCGGCCGCGCCGCGGAGGCGCGCACGGCGGCTTGCCGGCGGCCGCCGCCGCGAAGCGGCTCTCGACGACGCAGCCGCTCAGCTCGCGGCGGCCGCAGGCGGCGCCGCCGCTCTCGACGCGGCCGCCGCCGGCGGCGAGGAGCTCGTGCTGGAGCAGCGGCTCGGGCACGCGGCCCCGCAGGAGCGACAGCTCGGCCTCGTGGCAGAGGATCCGGAGGTAGGACCCGAAGCCGGACCGCCTGTGGCCCGCGAGCGGCGACCGGCAGCCGAGGCCGCCGGAGGCGGCCACGAGCGCGTCGAGGCGCGCCGCCGCGTCGGCCGCGGGGCGCGCGGCGCTCGCGTTGAGCGTTCGCGGCAGGTAGCGGTGCGACAGCTCCGGCGCGAAGGGCTGCGCGGCGGCGCGGAGCGCGACGACGGCGAGCGCCGCGCGCCGCATCGCTGCGGCGCTAGGAGCGGTCGTCGACGCGTCTCGATGCGCAGGCGCGGCGCATCGATGGTGCGCACGATGTTTTCACCATCGTGCTCTCCCGCGCTTTTGCTGCCCGCGGCTGGCTTCGGAGCGCGACGCGGCCGTCATGCTCGGCGACGCGCGTGACGCCACCGCCGGCGACGGCGCGGGCGTCAACCGCGCGGCGCTCGTGCCCTTCTCCAACGTCGAACGGCGCGTCAAGAACGTGACGCCGGACCTCGCCGTCGAGCCCCTCGACAAGGTCCGCCGCATCTTCGACGTGAAAACGCTTGCCTGGTCCGCCGCCGACTCGAACTACTACTCCACCGCGGCGTCCGCGCGGAGAGGCGCGTCGCCCGTGGACAAGCGGGCGTCCTACGTCGACAACGAATACAAGGCGCACGCGAAGCAGATCGACGTTGAGATCAACGGCGTCTCCGACGGCCCGATGCTCCGCGCGCTGAGCTCCCTCGGCGGCTGCGTCGGCCTCGTCTTCGGCCAGTTTTCCGAGGCCTCCAAGGACGTCTCGTCCCTGCTCGCGGACGTCGCGACCGCGCTCTCCGAGTCGCGTTGGATCTCCATGGGCTGCGCGTGCCCCGACCAGGCGAAAGCCCTGCTCAGCAACGAGCTCCACCGCGAGTGGGGCACCACCGCCGCGAAGTACCGCGCGCGCTACCTGATCTCCGGCCTCAAGTTCGTCGACGGCACCTGGACGTCCAAGGCCCGCGCCCTCTCCCACCGACTCGAAGACGACGCGCGCCGCCTCGCGGACCGCGCCGCCCTCGCCACCCTCACGACCAACCTCCGCTGCGACGGCTAGGGGGCGGCCTCCGGCCGCCACCTGGCTCGGCTCGCCAAGGTACCCCACGAACCCCCCTGGATAAGCTTCTCGCTTTTGCTGCCCGCCTGCGGACGCCTCCGGCACGGTCGCTGCGCGCGCACGGGTCCCGGCGGAGCTCTAAAAAGGGGGAAGTATACAGCTGGGCTCGGGGAGTGGGCGGTCGGCGAACGAGCGAGGGGCTCGGGTCGGCCTCGGGGGCGCGCGAGATGTGGCGAAGGGGCGTCGGGGCGTCGGCGGCGGCGGCGGCGCGTCGCGTCTGCGTCGGGCGGCTAGGCGTCGTCGCCGGTGCCGGCGTCGCCGTCCGGCGGGGGCGTCGCCGCGTGGCGGCTGACGATCATCGAGATGGGGAAGGGGAAGGGCATGCCGCCCTGCTCGAGGTCGTCGCGGTTCACGCGGATGACGGTGGGCTCGCCGAGGCCGCCCGCGCGGGCCGACTCGAAGAGCGCGCGGATGAAGGCCGGCGCGGGCGCGCCCTCGGGCGACGCGGGGAGGACCGTCGCCGCCACGGGCGCGGGCGACCGGCCGTTGGCGGCGGCGGCCGGGCCGCGGCGCGACGCGCGGCGCGCCTCGCGGTCCTCGGACGCGGCGGCGGCGGCGCGCGCCGCGGACGCGGCGCCGCGGCGG